GATTCAATCAGCAGCTCACAAGGGCATCTATTTCGAGATCGTCATTGTCAAGAACTCATCCACTGAATAGCAGTGTGATTGCATGGGAGGCTTCCTAATTTCAGGTTTAATAAAATAAGATAATGCCTTTGAGAAAGTGCCCCAGTCTATCCTTTGTTCTTGAGTTGAAAATCAATGACCAAGCAGTAAATGTGTGCATATACTTTAACATGCTATACCTGAAGGCCAAAATTGCTAGCATTACAATGGTTGATTCCTTCATCAACAGAACTTATTCTGACAACCGACACAACTGGACCAAATGGTTCCTCCCATGCTATTCTCATATCTGGACGAACATTATCCAGCAGCAACGGCCACATGAGATTCCCCTCTCTTCTGTACTCCTGACAGAATGTTGCTCCTTTCTGCTTAGCGTCCGTTACCAATCCTTCAATAAAGTTAGTAGAGGACTTTGTGACAATTGGAGTGATATCACAGTTATCCTCAGAGGCCCAACAGTTAATTTTGCAACTTTAGCATTGACTTTCTCGACCAGAGTATCTGTAACAAATTCCATGATCAAAACAACCTTTACAGCTGTGCATCTCTGGCCACTGAAAACATTTCATTTTTGCTTCAGAGCATGAGTTAGGAACATTAATGTCATGGAAACCAATGCAGCCGTAAGCATTACATAGAACTTATCCCATCATCAAATGTGAAATCTTAACACAAACATCAAGAGAGATCACTAATGCTTTGCCTTTGGAAATTTCTTAAAATCTATATTGCTCACTTGTAGGAGAAGCCTCCTTTTACAATGTTAGCAGCTGCCAAATCTAAATCAGCATCTTCAAGAACAATGCATGCATCTTTTCCCCCCAGCTATATTTGAAGAGGAATCATTCCTGCCTTTTTTGAGATTGCGATTCTAGTATCTCCACCGGTAAAATTGTAGATTAATGTGAATGAGGCAGTAGAATATACATCTTGCAATGAGATTCAAAACATATTAGCTGGATGTGAATATGCTCATGACAGTTTAAGATGCCTAAACCTCTGTTGGAACTTGAAACTACATTTGCAAATAAGATATCATATGAACCACCAGAGTAAAAAGATACAACCATTTGTAATAGATAAGTCCATTAATCATAAGATGACTCAAGAATTACCTTATACAGTTCACCCCAGGATGTATAGTAAGAAAGTCACCGATCTCAGAACCCTTTCCTGTCACACAGCTAATAACACCTTTGGGAAAACCAGCCAAATGAAAGCAATGCACCATATGAAGAGCGGCGATAGCACCCTGCAAAATCAGAGATATAGGGTTACGCAACTCATCTAACTTACAAAGCCACTTACATAAGGCAATCCACTTGAAAAGACAAATGCACAACGACTAGTGAAATAACAAATGTGAAAGGGTTTGGGCTCTATGAACAGTACACACCTGGGTTGGTGGTTTAAGCACAAGGGAGTTTCCAGCAACAAGTGCAGGACCAATTTTTGAAACAGCAAGATTGACAGGGTAGTTAAATGGCAAAATAGCCAAAACTACCCCTAGTGGAATCTACATACAGCAAATCAATAATCCAAAATAGCAAATTATTTATGATCACAAGCATATGTGCTCTAGACATATATGGTAAAAGGACGTTGTAATGAGTTTGATGAAGTGGTAGAATATCTCCTGATTATAGCCATAATCTTAATACCATACAAATGTTTCTTTCTTACTTATGTTAAACTCTAACTGCGATGTAAAATTTTAGGATGGCAATAATCAAACCAAGAGTGAGCAAGCTTTTTAAGTCGACAACAAAAGGTTGGAGATAGACAAACACAACTTATAATACGGAACACTATCAGTCTCGTGTCTAAAGAGAAGGTGTGAATCACCTTGAATGGTTTAGGTCCATTACCTTAGAAGTGAGACAGTATTTGTCCTTTCGTTGCCTGGAAAACTATCAGAAACCAGAAAATTTCCCTTCTCCAAGAATTTGCACCCCTTCTTCAGTACAATATGACACCAGATCACCTGATCTGACAAAGCATAGTTCATAGAGTATATGTAATTAACGCCAAAATCTTAAAAGCATGTTATGAACAAAATCAACTAGTAACCTTCGCTCTTTAAAACCTGATTAATACTTTCCAAAATGCCACTATGCTTGACACTTACAACGCTACAGAGAAAATATCCAAAACAAGCGTTCAAATAATGATGCGTTTAATGAAAGCTTTTAAATATACATACTTCAGTGACGGCATCTTTAGCTGGCTTTGCAATCTCTTTGACGAGGCACTCGGCAATGGGGGCTTTATGCCCCTTCATTATTGCAGCCGCCTTATGAAGCAACTCTGCTCTTTTCCACAGTGGTGTCTTAGCCCACAATTTTTGTGCTGTCTTCGCGGATTCCATTATCTTGTCAACCTCTTCCTATGTGCAAGCTGTTTGAATCTCGATTAGAGCAGAATACAGTTATAATCGTTAGATGTGAGGGAAAAAAAGGCTAAAAAAAAAGAAAATAAAAAAAATAGAAAAGAAGCTGACTCTTCAACAGCCACTGTTCTCCGAGAAAATGTACAGGATCGAACTACAGCCAGACATTTGGGATGCTAAAATATTTTAGAAATTTTAATAAAATTAAATTAAGCAAATCGACACTTCCATGATCAAGGAAATGATGGCCTGATCTTTACAAATTTCAGATTGTAAAAACTAAAAAGAATGAGTTAGATTAGCAAATAGCTCCTTGAACTTTGAAGTGTGTCTTCCTAGTGGTGGGGTTGATGATGGGCGCAAATTTTCCCGAGGAGGATTTCTTCCATTCGCCATCAGCATAGTACTTGAAAACATCATCGTCTTTGATCTCGACAAAAGTTGCTGTTCCTGCCATGATGGGGCAAACTAACTGTGCTTCAGTATGGGGTTGATCAGAAAGTAAAGGCCTAGAAGCTTAGAAATGGAGTTGGAATGGAATCCTTGTGTAGAGTTGAAACTTGAGAGCGACACAGCATTGGCCAAGATTCCCAAAAGGCAGAATTCTTTTTTTCCCCCCTTGATAGAAAGGCCATGAAGGAAATATTTATAGATAAATTATAAACAATGCGTTTTCTATCCATACTTAAAATTAAATTAAAATATATAATTAAAAATCAAATAAATAGATATTACATGAAATTATTGTTACCAGTGTTTTTTGTCCTATCGTAATGAGTTTTGGAGGAGATGCTATAAAACTCCCGCTATACATGTTGTCCTTCCACAGTAAGTTTTTATTTTTTTGACCCACAATTAGTTTATAATATCCTTCCACAATAAGTTGACACTGACATATTTGAAATGAATTGTGAATATCAATATCCTTATTAATATTTTCGGTGACAATTCTACTGTGATTCTGCGAATGACATTATAAATATTGGATGGGACTTGGGAGGCTACATTCTTACATTGTCACTTGAACTTCTCTGGAAAAGTTTCTCATTCGTTTGACAGTTTGATACAGTGATGTTAAAATATGTCTAAGAAAATCTTAAAAAAAGAAGGAAAATTTTCAGATGCATGACACGCATCCGCCAGTAGAAATTGCAAAACAGGAGGCGTCTCTTGACCCTCCCTCTGACCAAGGCCCTCGTTCGGCACACTGGTTCATCGTAGACTGGTGCATGCGAGGGTTCCATGATTTAGCATCCACATAAAGCAGGAATACGACCTACTTGCCTCTGTATTTTTAATTGTGCGCTGAGTTTTATCCTGTTTAAGCGAGAATCAACATATATAGGCACCACTCCCAATAAAAATTTAAAATTTTTAAATAAATAAAAAATTTGAATATAAGATGGAAAAAATGTAAACTTTAATTTATGAGAAATTAATGCATTCAGTTAAACTTAACCCGTTAGCGATATACTCGTTTTAGACTAAAATGTATGGTATTGTAATTAATTCATGTTTCTCAAAAGATGTTAAAAGCCTTAATTTTTTTTTTAAATTTTTTTACATCTTTTCTATTATACGATCTTTAAATACCTTATAAAAATATCTTCATAATGATAATTAAAATTGTAATACTCTATTTAAAAATATAATGTATTTTAAATTAAATCTCATCCTTTCAATAAAGAAGTCATCAATTTTTAAACTAACCCTATCTTTTCATATTTATTCTTATTAAATACCCTATAATAAATATAAAATCATTATTAATAGGGGCATTTTTAAAAAAAGTAATGATTACATCTTACAAGATTAAAAATGACTTACATTTTCAAACATATAACTTTTCAAAAATGCCTTACATTTTTAAATGAAGGGAATATATTATTTTTTAAAAATATTTTAATAAATAAAATAAAGATATAATTATAAAAATTATATAATGTTTTATATTTTAAACTAAATGAAGATTATAGAAGATCTATATCATGATTAGGAGGGAGTACCTGCCCTTTAAACAAAGCACGTAAGACTCGCATAATTTTCTGTGCATAATTGATTTCAAGAAGGAAAGTACTGTGCATATTAAAAAACATAACATGACCCCAGTCCAGTTATTTTTTGCTTTCAGAAAGAGGGACACTTTATTTTTTTTAATTTATTATCAATTATTTTCTCTTTCTATTTTCACAAATATAGATTAGGTAAAATATTTTGTTTTTATTATTTTTTCACCGAAAATACTCTGTTTTTATTCACATGCACGTCAATCAGATATACTTAATATTCTTTACATATCCATCATCTCCATTCCAGAAAAAATTGTGGCCCTTCTACCAAAAAGAAAATGTGGCCCAGAAAAAAAAAGGAAAAAAAAAGGCTGCGAAGGCCAGACAATTTTGGTCCAGGCCTTCAAATTTGGCCCATCTCAGGCATCTGTTTGTGAATAAAAATGGGAATTGACTCCGAAGGACACGTTTACTTCAATGCGGCCTTTCCAGTTAAAAACTTCCACGTCTTTAGTATGGCCAGGTGTTCCTCTCCTATTGGCTAAAAACATGTCACCGAACGTGTCTCCCGTTTTCCAGCGTCTCCTTCACTCCGTATTTTCTCCTGCGAATTGAAGTTGAAGTTGGAATTGGAAGCCTTTGCAACTACGGATTTTTTCTGCCCTGAAATTCATCGGAGGCCAAACCTCACAATCCCTTGCATCCATTTTATTATGAGTTGAGCGTTCTTCTTCTTTTGAGTGGTAAGCTTTCTTTCTCTCTCTTGGTTCCGATCTGGATAGTAAGTCGGGTCGAACCGTGGCTTCCACAGGGGCACAGAATCTATCTCGAAGAAAGCCTTCTTCTTCTTCTTCTTCTTCTTCTTCATCTGCCACGCCAAGCACTGGTCCAACCCGGATTGTTTACAGGGAAACGAGGAGGCCTTCTGAATCTGAATTTCCCTTCTGGCAGCAGAATTGGTTCATCGTATTGCTCTTCGTCATGGCTCTCGGATTTTTTGCCCTGGCCCTCTTCCTTTTCCTCAGCCTTGATTCAGATAATGGCCCTTCTTCGACGGCATCGGCGGCTTCCTCTGAAGGCGTTGAGGTATATAATCTTCGAACTTTGTTTTCCATCTTTTGCCTTCAAACTGTTCTTTCTCTTATTGTTTGAGTCGAACTACTTCAAGCATTTGTTTGCTAACAAATTGAAAATAGAGTTTGAGAATGGTGGCATGCATCCTAGTGCGAGTATATATTATTCAGCTTGTGCATCTGCTGACTGAAATGCGATGTGAAATTTTGAATTTTAACGCAGCAGGAAGAACTGTTTTACATTTCTGCATTGATATGGCTTTTCTAGTTTATTGTCTTTCATTTTAAAATGCGAATTCTGAGCACATGTGAATCATAGTTTTCATTGTTGTCGAGTCCATCTACCTAACTTCAGTTTAATTCACAATACTTTTGCTGCTGGGTCACATTTAGGTTCAAATTACTTATGGGTCAGTTCTGAAGCTGATGCATGAGAGGACCAAATTTCGGTTGCATTCTCATGATGTGCCATATGGTTCTGGCAGTGGACAACAATCAGTTACTGGTTTTCCCGGTGTTGACGATGCTAATAGTTACTGGGTAAGCTGTTTTTCTCAAATTTCCATTACTTCCGTGTTTTGTGTGTGGGTCTGGGGGGGGGGTGTTCCATCCTTCCTGTCTTCTTAGTATTATCTTCTATGAAGATTTTAAAATGGAAATACTCATTATCCGATACCTGAATTATACAATATTTGTGGTTGTTATTGTCATCGATTTTGAGTTCTGAGCTTATCTCTGTCGTGTCTTTATTTTTGTATGATGTGAAAGAAAAAGCATTCTTCGTACCAAAAGTGTAGCAGCATCGTTTTAGGAAGCTCCAAATACGATGCTACAACCTTTTGGTCTGGGCCCTGTGCGTGGGTTTTGAATAAGTAATGAAACTTTCAAAAATGTTATTTCCACTATCATCGCTTCTTCAAACTTTCACCTTTATGTATGCAGATTCGTTTTTTCCTTAAAGGCTTAAACACGTTTGTACTGAAATTTTAATTTTTGATGTGTTCAATCATAACATATGGGCAAGCAGCTATCTTTCTGTGTTGAAGTACTTGATGTTGACAGAATTATGTTTATTGTTCTAGTTATGACTTTTGACGATATGGAACGTGCATACTTTTGCAGATTGTTAGACCTCAGCCTGGAACTTCTGCCAAACAAGGTGACACAATTAGAAGTGGAGCAATCATTAGATTGCAGCATATGAGGACAAGGAAATGGTTGCACAGCCATCTGCATGCATCCCCAATAAGTGGCAATCTTGAGGTAGGTCGAGGTTCTTTATTATTCAGTATCATGAGCTTTAGGATTTGATGATGATTTATTTTAATGCTTACCGGTGGACTTTCATGGGCTAGAGAAGTTATACGAGAGACTTGCTTTGTATATGATCATGAGATGAGGACACTGATTTCATTATCTGTTCTGGCTGGTACAGAGCTAAATGTGCCATTTCCTTTCTTAAATATTTACCTCCATTCAGATGACTATTAACTGTCTCTTATACCTTTTTTCATGTGGCCTCTCTCTCTCTCTCTGTTTTTTCCCTTTTTTTTTGGGGTGTAAAATAACAGTTCATCAATCAACAAGATTCCTTTCTGGAGTTATGTTCGGTGTACCTCTTTTTCATTATCCACTGCCTTTTGTGGGGATGATCAAAAGTGCAAAAAACTTTCAACACCCTCATGAGATTGCCTGGCTAGCAAATGAGCTCATTCACATACCCTTTTGAACATGTGCTTCTTTTAGTAATTTGACAATAAAAGCACTTCTTTATGGAAACTCTATTTGGAAGGTTTTCTAATCATATCACATGATTTTATGAAACACAATCTTCTTTCATGCAGTGTTTCTAATGGAAACTCTATTTTAAAAGAGGTTTCAAAACAAGTAAACATCCATAGCATTTGACGATTTGTGCGGTTGACTTTAATGACTGAAATCTTTGAATTGGCTTTCTAATGTATCTGCATTTTTAATGCTTGGAATTGTTGCAAGCAAACCAATTTATCCACGAGGAATCCTTCTCATTTTCATTTAATGGTACTATTCTCTATTTTTAAGCATTGTGTATTGCATTTTCCAGTTCTCCCAATGATCGTGTTACATGTCACTGTCAATCATTATCATGTTGATGTAAAACGAGAAAGGGAAAGAGAAAGGAGGAGGGAGAGAGAAAGAGATGAGGTTGGGAACAAGAATTCTTATCATTCAACACTCAATTAGATATATATGAAAACTCCTAGCTTTATTTATAGAGTCTCGAAATAATAATAATTTAAATTCAAATGTTAAATTCTAAATCTAAATCAAATCTTAAAGATACTGATATATGATTTAACAATAAGATAAATAATCAAAGCTAATTCTAACAGATAAATATCCTTATTTAAATATCTCTACTGGATAACCTTAATTTCTTAAATTAAATCATAATTATATTTTTATCTCATATTACATCACATATGCTCTACATTCATTTCATAGACAGTTTCCATAACCGTCCAACATCTGTATTGCTAGACATGCTAGATGACAGGCCTAAAATGTGGTCAAGAAAACTTTTAGATGTATTTATTCATGCAACTTTGATGTGTTGCATCCCCCCGGGGGGAAATCAATACTATTGTTACTTGCCACCAGGTGTTAGGTATTTTTCAATAGCCTTCCTAAGGATTAGCAAGAAAATATTGACACCACTTACGTTCTTGAACTGGAGAACCTAAAGCGGAAGAGTTGTAAATCTTAATTTTCTTTTTGTTTTTTCTCCGTTATTTTCATACATACAAGGTTGCTATTGAAGGTCTCATTCTAAGATAATGAGTTTTTACATTCACAATGGCAATTTTAGACACCGGAATTTATTCATTTAAATGGAAAATAGGTGAGTTGCTTTGGAGGAGATTCTGACTCTGACACAGGGGACTTCTGGAGGTAAGCCACGGGAAAATATTCTGAAGTTATTTGTTTTCAAATTCTTTAAGGGGCTTCATTTCATTTTCATTTTTCATCAGGCTGTTAATAGAAGGAAGTGGAAAGACTTGGAAGCAAGACCAGAGGATTCGGCTTCAGCATGTGGACACCGGAGGTTATTTGCACAGTCACGATAAGAAATACTCTCGGACTGCTGGGGGACAGCAGGAGGTAGGAAAGGAATTATAAACTGGGAAGCACTTTTTTTTTTTTTTTTTTGGTCAAGAACTGGAAATCTCTTTTATTGAGTAATAGATTGTAGAATTAAACACGGTTAGGCAAATCATTTTTGTATTCTCTGGAAAACTTTGGATGCTTCCTATTTTTATACCACTGAATCTCATGGCCATTCCTACCCAGACTTCGCAAGGATTTGGGACATAAATGTTAGTTGCTTGGGAATAAAACGTATTAACAATTCATAAAAAGTAGTTAAGATGGTCTCCACACGAGTTAGATAAATTTTTGATTTAGACGTGTATAGTACTGGCTTGATGTATTTTTGTAGCGATCCTACTTTTATTTTTAATCTGCAGATTTAGGTAAAGCAATCTCGTAGGCTTTGTACTGAGCTTCAGTTTTATTTCTACTCATTTTTTGGGTGATACTTTGTTTTAACTTTTAAATTGTTGAGGTGGGTCAATAATTTTGTGCATTAACTGTTACTGAATCATACAGGTCTGTGGTGTCCGGGAAAAGCGTGCTGATAATGTGTGGTTGGCGGCAGAAGGCGTGTACCTTCCAGTTGCTGAAACCAAATGAAGTTGATCTCCATCCCCGCCACCATATTCTTGCAGTTATGCGTTAGTTTCAATACTTTGTAGCTTGTAGAAATGAGTATGACATTTTTATGGTTTTAGGGGTCTAGTGTAGTCTCTGGCCGACGACAGATGTAGATGGGCTTTTGCCTTTTGAGTGAAGAATACAATTACCATCATCAGTTTTACAATTTTATAAATTGGGCCTTGCCTTGTGAAATGGGGTTAAAAACTCCTCATTAGCTCTGATTTTGCATCAGTTTTGTTATAAAGTTGTGCTCATTAATATTAATAACAATGGGGGTTGGGTTTAACCAAAAAAAGGTGTTGGGTTTAACCAAAAAAAGGTTGATACTTAGTGATGAATTAAGATTCAAATTTATGTTGACTGTTCACATTTAGTGTCAGATATTGTCTCAAGCATGATTGTCTCTAATGAAAAAATACATGTGGGTAAAAAAAAAAAAAAAGTAACTATTAAATGAGTTCACTTGCCCTTTTCATAAGAATGGTCTTTAAATATGTAACCCATTAAAACTTTTCTAGATTTGTGCTGCTTAAGTATGCTCAATGCATTGCTTAAGTACTAAACTAGTTTTAGGAAGAATTACAAAGAGGTTCAAAAATGATCAATTAATTTAAGTTAGGTTTTAAGTATTAAATTTTATAAATTTATAATTTAATTTTTCAATTTTATAATTGTATTGTAATGAATTTGTAAATTATTTTTTAAATTTCAATATAGTTGAAAAATAAAAAAATTATTTTTTAATTAAAATTTAGAATACAAGTGATAAATTCATCACAATGAAATTGTAAAATTGAAAAATTGATATGAATTTTTTTTTAAAATTTGACACTGAAGACTTAATTTAAATTAATTGATTTTTTTAGAATCTCTCTATCATTCTCTTAATTAGTTTTGACTCTGTTTTGTTGGATACTCTCTCTCTCTCGAGGCTTCCAAGTTTGATGATAGAAAATTAATCATTAATCATATCCTATATCCCTAATTAATTTATATATTCTAATTTAGATGGTTCTACATCTGTTATGCTTGTTTGCTTTTGCTTCCTTACATTAAACTTGGTTTTGTTATTATTAAGACACCCTTTTGAAAGTATATTTACTTATATACCAAGAGTGACCTTCCGAAGGACCAGTCTTCCCCATGGCTTTCTAGCACGTAGGGGTGGGAGTAGGTTAGATCCTTAATAGGAGCATACAATTTAGCCTATTTTAGGACTAACTTAACTTACTTACTATATAGGCTCAAGCCAAATTTATGCTTTTAATTAAGTCTATTTAATTAAATAGGTTAGGTCTATTTTTTTAAGATCTAACCTACAAGTCTAAGAGGCTAGCCTATATATATATGTATATATATATTATGTAATATATTACAAACACATCAATTTTACTATTTGATATTTAATCAATTATACTTTTTTTATTTCTAGTTATGTTTTCAATTATATTAGACTTATATATTAATCTTAATATTATTACTTTATTATTATATTATATTATAGTTGGTAAGTCTTTTCAATTATTATATATTATATTTGATAAATCAAGTTATATATTATATATTATATATTGTAATAGTCTTAAAGTATATTTGAAATATTTAAAACTAAAATGCGAACGTATTTGAAAAGGCTTACTTTTGAATAGACTTTTAAATAAGCTTTTAGGCCAGACCATACTTTAGGTAGTTTGTAGTTTGAGCCGTCAAAAAAGTCTTATACAGGCTTTAGGTTAGGCTCAGGTCTCTGATTTATCATACAAGCTCAAATCTATTTAGCTAAAGTCTAACTCAACCTAACCTATTTTCATCCCTGGTGGCATGTTCTTTACGGATGTTCCATGAGTTTTGGGTTTAAGACTTGGTGTTACTTCCTCTAGTCTTTTCAAGTATGATTAATTGTCCTGCACTCTATAAGGTGCTTCAAACAAATGCCAAAAGTGCCTCAATTTAGTTGTACATGAGAGAGGTAGTGCTACTAGAGATATTATCAGGTAGCATAATGGAAGATGGATACTGGAATATTGTTTGAAAATTGAGTCACTTCTGCCTACCATTACTGGGGTAAAAGCTATTACCATTGGTTTATACTACTGTTGGAATCTTGGGATTGAGAAAGTGAATGTGATTTCTGATTGCGTCAATGCTATCAACATGATCATGAGAGATTCCTCATAGAATCATCCTTTTTAATATACTATTCAGGAAGTTAGACTAATTTTAGACAGAAATTGGTTTGTTAATTTAAATTTTGTTCCCAAGGACCATGTTAGAAACGTTGATGTGCTTGTTAGGAGAGCTCACACTTTGTCTGAAAGTAGGCACTTTTTCAACCATCCTCCATCTTTCATTAGAGAAGGAGAGGAAGTAGGAAGAAATGATCTTATTGATGTATTTTGATATCTTGACTTTTTGACATGGATAAATTACTTTTTATTCAAAAAAAAAAAAAGATTGCCAAAAGTGAAACCAAGAATTTGGGTAGGGCAAGCTTATTCAGGCTTGGCCTCAATAGAGCTGAACTCAAACCCAAATAGATCTGACTCTCTGAAAAACTTGAATAAAATATATTATTTTTATTTTTAGTTTTATTAAAATTTTCACTTTAAAATTAATTATTTTATTTTGTAAAAGTATAAAAAATATATTTTTTAGATGCTTAAATGATTTTTAGGACTCCAAAATTTTTTTAAAAAAAATATGTGGATCTTAAAATTTAAAATATTATTTTGAGATATCTTATAGATTAAAAATAATAAAAATATGATAATATAAATTTTTTTGTTTTTTTAAAAATATCTATAATAATACACTTAAATATATGGCAGTATAAAATAACCTAAAACCTAAGTAATTAATTAATATTTATTATATTTTATATTTTTTAAAAAATTATTTTTTATTTGGATATTTGGGTGAAGTTCGAACTTAATAGGGCTTGACCTGAATTTTTTTAAATCTATTCGAACTAGTCTAAATATGAAAAAAATATTATTTTTTTAAATTCAATTCTAATTTTTTTAAAACAGGTTTAGATTGACTTGCCAGTTTTGGTTTAAATTAGCCGCTCTAGCCAAAAGCGGAGCCAATTGCCAAGTCCTCCGTTTTTTGGATTTGGTAGTTTACTAACTGGATCCAGTCTTCCCTATAAAAGGCCAAGCAAGTATGAGTGCTGGTGGAATGGTAAGGAACATACTTTTTCGTCAACATGCATAACCAACTTTTTTTTTTTTTGGAGTTACGTGCAAAACTGTGAGATTACCAATCGTGTTATTTATCAATTATCATAGCGAACCAATATTTGACCAAAAGAAAAATCATAGTGAACCAATGAATCTTCTCTTACAACACGAAAGAGAGAGCCTTTGGACTTTTTGTGGCACACTGTCACAGCCTTGGAGTTTGACGGAGCATCTTTTTTATCACCCTTTATTTTCATTGTCACGAGAGAGGTAAATAAATAACACTCGTGTTATTATAGTCTGGTGATTTCCTCACTCTCACTCTCTTTTTCTTCTTCTTTTTGGTGAATTCTCAACCTCACTTTTAATTCTGAATTGTATATCTTTTTACAGCCTGCCACGTTTAGACTGTCTTCCTCCGAGACGCTTTATGAATGAATCAGAGGACCATCAGTTTCTAGACCATGTTGGTGGGGCAAACAGAAAACTGGTCCTATTTATTTATTGCATTCACCAAACAAGCTCGGATTATTCAATGTTTTAAAGCAATTGAATGTCAGTCTAGCATAAATTTATCCATGAATGGTTATCCTCCTAAGTCCTAACATTCAGAACATGTCTTCAACTTACTAATCCCTCTTTAGAGAGGGGAAAATAATTAAAGCACACCCTTCTGGTGCTGTGGTCCACACCATCATCAACGCAAAGATCAAATACAACTTCTCAGTTCAGGAATTCACACACGCCACACGTGTTTTGTTTTTTCATGACAGACACATCAAACTGCCCCTATAAGGATAGGCAGCGACTGGTGCTTTAACTATTTTCATCAACAAACGGGAATGAATGCATTTCTTTGTTATTTTTTTTAGGGGGGAAAAAAAGAAACTTGTTAATTAATGTACAAATGGGTCAGTCTTTCACCCATTGATGCAGCCACCTTGGTTCATGGTTGGTGTCCTAATTGAAAACTTGTCTCTGAATCTGGCAATAAGGGTAAGTATAGGACCAAAGACTCCATAATTCAAGTAACTAAACCCCTCCTTGAAGAACAAACTAGAATTATTGTACCTCCCGCTCATTATTTTGCAAACACGGCCTTGGACTGGCTAGAGGAAACTCGTATTCCATGACCGTGATGCATCGTGTGGTTGTGCAATTACGTAAAAAGTTCAAGGGTAGGTCAGTCCTTGTCTAATTCCGCGGATAGTGTTGATGAATTGACAACACATGGTATTGGTAAACATCTGATGTGGGGTCTCTACTCTGTCTGTACCTTAGATCATAAAATATTGATGTATGGGCTCCTCGTCCTTTTCTTTTACCCCTTTCCAGAATTTTTTTTAAAGGAGCATTATCTTCATTATTAGCCTAATCTAACGTAAGATACTCGGAATTCAGAATCATGTTTTATAAAGACAGACAATAAAAAGAGAAGGAACAAAAAATCATAGATTGTCTGCATTTTTTTTTTAATTGCTTTCCACTATTCAGAATTATCTGCAGAGCCATAGTGAGCTAACCATTGAGTTAAAATAATTGTGGTAACTGAGGCAACCAACACTGAAATGAGTGCGCTTAAACTAAAACTAAAAGGAGCTATGGCTATGCTAGTGGTGAAGGGTCCATGTCAATTTTAATTTTGGCAAGTGTGGTTGTTGGAAGACTCAAATTTCTTTAAAAATTAATAATGAGTTGGTTGAACAAAATTTTTCCTCATAAATAAGATAACTACATGATGAAATTGAGGCCTTAATATTCACATTGTATAGTCCCCACTTAACAAACCCAGACAGAGAAATTGAAACGTACCAGCGGCTCCGGATTACCCAGTTTGCTACGACGACAACTAAGAACCATCTAACATAAATATGAAGGACAGAAAGCACTGTGTCTGTGAGAATAAACACATGTTGTGAGCAGAGTGGGCAAGTAGGTTTGGACAGTATAGGAAGCTCAAGGAGTTGGCTGAGCTTAATTTGAAGGACAAGAGGCAGGCCAAGCTTCAATGATTCAACTGAATGAAGAGGTTGTAGAAGTGCATTTTAAACTTTGCACCTCTACTTTCTTGTATTTATTATCGTCAAGTTATAGCATCAACCACCATTGTTTCTGTTTCCGCATTGGTGAAAGAAATTTCACACTTACTTCATTGTGGACCATAAATAGAATAGAAGTTATTCAAGTGTTTTAGAGCTCTGCTCGCCCTAAGAAATTTTGGAAATGGACCACAAGGAGGAATTGGGGTTCATAAAGAAGCTGTCTTAGCTTCAATAAACGTTGTGCCGGACAAAAAACATGTTTGATTAGATAAAGAACATACTCTAAAAATTATTTTAGAATTAAATAATTCTAAATGATAGTTTTATTTCAAGGTGATCAAATTTCAAATTTGAACATTAGAATGATATAATTTTAAGGAGGGGGGGCTCCTCTCGAGTAAGGAAAAGTGATTTACCTTGTAATAAAATTGTTGAAAATAAAATCTTTCAAAATGAACTACTTGAAGTTTGTCCTGATGACGTGATTGAAATAAATCCAAGTATAAGTCGTATTCTCTTTATTCTATGAAGATTTAAGGCGACAAATTTATCTAAACATGGACCATTATATTATTTTTCTGACCAAAAGGCAACGTAGTATAATCGTTGCATCATTGTCTGTCATAAAATTTTCAACTTTCGTCCCCTCATCCAACCAGGAAAAACACTGTAACTCCAATAATTGATGATCATGCCCCATTAAGAGACCGCTTTTGGAGCTTTGTCCTGTACACCGCAGATGCATCTTCTTCAGAGAAAGTAAATAGTACGAATGGCATATGATCCAAGAGCAACAAGAGCTTTAAGAATCTAACATGACATTAACATGGGAATATATACATTAAAAAAGGTCGGCAAAATTAAAAGCACCACAAAGAAGATAACATTACAACTGACTGTACCCCACAACAAGCATGATATATGTAAATATCTACATAGTGGGGACAAAATGCCATTGAATTTTATTTGCGAGGAACAGCTCATCTCTCCATACAGCCAGATCGATTCTCATCCAACCACTTCATTCAGATCTGTGTCTGATTATAAGAAAATTGCTCAGTTCAGTAAACACCATGTGATGACATAAACAAATACAGAGGGTAAACTAAGAAGTTGCTGAACAAATAAAATTAACAGCTTACAACCCCCCTCTTAGCGGCTAATGCTTAATAAAATACATTTATCTTTGCTACTGCAAAGATTCCGTCTGAAAAATAAACACATGGAATTGACCAAGAGCACCAGGAATAGATTCTCAAATGCAAGAAATGCAGTGAATAGTCAATGTTTATCATGGAAGATGAAAAAGACTAGCACCCTTTCCAACATTATTATCAACATCAATGTATATAATTAAATTTATGATCAGGCGCTTTATCATAAGCCATGATGCGGCTCGCCTTGCCTCTATGTATTACATGCACGGACCTGCTGTCTAGTTAGGAATATTAAACACATAATACAGCCAACAAATAGACAAAAGTGTACTATTGGTTTGAAAGTGACTCCTTGAAGGTAGGGTTGATAGTATGACCGAAGCAACCCCCGGAATTTCTAATATTGTATGTCATACCACTCCTTCAAAGTCATTCCACTAATACTAAAAAGAATCTGCCAATGGTTTGGGAGGTGGATTCGAAGGATTTCTCAGGCCTAAGATAAAAAATCTGCCAATGGAACATGCCAAAAAAGCAAGCAACCAGAGATGATGCACCCAGCAAAGAAACCTAATACTAAAAATATATACTATTATAAAACCTATAGAAATATTTTGACAAGCGATGGCTATATTATCAGCGCTACCAAATAGCAACAAACCAAAAGCTCAATAAGATTATAATGGGAAGACTAACTTCGTGATTCATTCTCTTCAATCTCAACTTCGCCTTCAGCAGCAGCAATTTCTTCAAAATGGCAGGCTTTTTGAAGTCGATCCTGAAGTGAGGGCCTTAAAATGCTCCGATGGAACAAAATCTTGGGGCAAATTGGCCCTCTTCACAATTTTCCTCATGTTGTTTTGCAAACTCTGCTGGACTAATTGCTTCACTGCCTTCTTCTCGTCACTCATCATATCTTCCTCCTCTTCCAAACACTCCTTTCCACTTTCACCTGGCTTAGTACAAGACGACGAAGAGCCACAAATGGGAGCAGATACAGTTGAACTAAAGTTTCCGCCGGAACTCCCAGATACCTGCTTCCCTTTGTCTATTCTCAAGCGTTCCAGTATTCTCGAGGCCCTTTTCTGTGCCAACGCAGTGCCCAGAAGCATCAACTCAAGCAATGATGAGACAACCCCAGCCTCAATCATGGCCTGCCTGTCACTATAGGCTTTGTGTGCCATAATCATCAAAATATAAGATGCTTTTTCCTGGCATCCAGGCGAATCTGTCCAATTCAATACATCAACCAGAATGGGGAATGCACCGCGCACAGCACTTATAGCTTTTCTACCCTCAGGGGTCGATACCAAATTGCTTAGGATTGAGAGAATTCTTTCACTTACTTCCATGTCTCCTATTGCGTTTATCAGAAACGGAACCGAGTCTGTTTCCAATATGAATGAGATGTTGGCAGGGAAGATTGACAGATTGTAAAGTGCTCGGAGAGCATCTTGCTTAGCCTGGGGGCTACTTTTTTTGTGTGAATTTTCCAGGGTTCTAAGCAGGAAAGGAATCGCACCCGACGATCCAATTATTGGTTTATTCGAATCCAAAGCACTCAAGCCAAGGAAATTTGCAACAACCGCTTCAGAAACGAATGAATCTGGATCAGCTGGTGATTCAATGAGCTTTAGCATTTTATGAATAGCACCGACTTTTACAATGGCTGCTTTATTTCTGCGAAAGGATAGAGAAGGGATCAAATTTAAATATGTTTGTTATCAAAAGAAAAAACCTGAAATTAAACGGCAAAATTTGATGCAAACATGCCAGTGAGGGAGACACAGCAGAAAATTAAAGTGTTAAATAAAGACATACTTAAAAAAAAAAAAAAAAACACTTGCCATTCGTATAAAACTAATGCAGCAGAACAAAAATAAAATGCAAAGATGGAAACCTGAGTGACCAATGAAGTCATGAGGGAGGAATGGGGAGAAAAACTAATGAGCGAAACGGACATAACAGAAGAATTTTATCAACGCTGAAATGTGAAAACTGAGTTCATTCGAGAAGAAGTAAAGCCATCATCAAAGGAATGTGTCATGAAAAAGAATGCACATGCTAGTATGATTCCGAAATAAACAAAGTCGACAAAATGGCACTAACCAAACAACCAAATGCAAATACAAGGGAAAAAAGAAGGAGAAGCGGAAACTCACGCGTCGTTGCCGATTCCAAGATTGAGTAACGCATAGAGCGAAGAGATCTGAGAATTGACGTCTTCCAAATCAAGCATTCTAACCAGAGGAGGAATCGCTCCAAGCATTGCAAGTGTCCCTCTGACTTCCAAGTCTTCCTTTGCGAGCAATCTCACACTAGCCGCAGCCATTTGCCGCTTTGTCAAATCCTCGACCTGTAACTCCTTCACAATTCTCTTCAGCTCCTGCAATGCCTCTTCTTTCTTCCCCGTTTCGGCGTCAATTTCAGGCTCCGCTATATTCAGAAGATCCGATAGTTTCTCCGACTTTGCATTTGGTTTCCGCTGAGACTTGGAAGCACCCTGTTCTTGCGACTTGTCCTTAAAGTTCCCGGAGTCTGATGAAATCGGCGAGGGAGTGGAGGCAAAGTCATTACGGTGGTGGCGGTGATGCCGAGAGCCACCACCGCAGCTGACAGCGTCAAAAATGATACGACGTATTGTTGAAGCGGACAAGGCGTTCCATATGCGGTGGTTAGCGCTGACTGTTGTATTCCTGGCAGGATCGTGATGGTCGAGAACTAGAGATCCGACGTTGTTCCGGTGATACTTTGCCATTTTCCGGCGGACCGGTGACCTACATTGCCATCCTATTATTCTAATGAGTATTATCACTTCTTTCCATAGAGCTCAGTACGGAGAGGGCAGCTGAGTCCACGTTTCTGTGTTCCTTGGCTACTTTGGCCTTTTATATAGTCGCACACAAATCTGAAACTCAACGTGATAGAACTTGACTGCTCTCTAATCCGTATACAGCCCTGTTTGGTTACATGTTTTAATGCAGCATGGCCATCTTCTAAAAGAAAATAAACATTTCATTTTCATGCGTAGAATATAATTTTATTATGAAATACTATTAAATTCTTTTTTTTGAAAAAAAGGAAAGGCCTTTCTTGGTCAAAAAGCAATATGTTTTCTTTTTTAAGGTTTGCAGTGGTTTTTTTAATTGAATATTCCCTCGAAATAATAAATAGCCAAACAAACAAGGCAGAAGTGCAGGAGTCTGTAAATTGGAGAGGGGGAGAGAAGTGTGTAGCTTAGAAAGAAAGCCACGTCGTTGCACTGTTGCACGCCTTTGATTTTTGTGTGAGGAGAGAATTCCGGTGTGTATGATACCATAAACGATGACGGTGCGCCCCAACGGAAGCGCTGAAGGAGGAAGTTTCGGGGCCACAGGAGTGCGGTGTGGGGCCCGGAATGTTATGGAATCTAGTGAACTTGATTGGAGGTTGTATTGCGATCATAGTGGTGCGAGGACACAGCACAGCACACAGCCGATGGTTCGTGGTTGGGCGAACTCCCAAGTGAAAGAGAATGTGTCAAAATATGTGCATGCAGCATGCCCCCCCGACTCCAATGTTTTTTTTTTTGGGAAAAAGGATCAAAAAATTACAATATTTGGGTACATGGACCAGATCTTAAATTAAACATTTTAGGGGATCATGATTTTTAAAAATTATGTTTTAACATAAAAGAACTATGTTACCCTTCCATTAATACTCGGTTAATATGAAAGAGAGGGAAAAAAAATGAAGGCAAAAAAGGCGGAGTGGTCATGCCCCCTATAGAACCTTGGTCCTGTTAAATATTTGACTAAAATTTCAGTCCTTCCTGCCAAATTTTTATGTCTTTTGGTTATTGTATCCAAGTTTCTATAATTTTTCATTTTAATTTTTAAAATCTACTAATTTTATTTAGTAATGTATAGAATCAAATTGCATTAGTCAATCAACTTGGTAAACTTTTTTATGCGGTTTGATCCAAGGCAAATGTTTTTTTTTTTTCACTTTTTGTTCCATCAAATTAGAATGATATAGTGACCAGCAGGCCGGGCAATGGGAAAATTTTGAACCTCTGGGTTTCTTTTTATTATGAAAATCCTAATTCTCCTACTCCAATTTCCTCTTTGTCGCTGAATTTTCACTTCACATGACTTAACATGTTCATCCCTCGTGGGAATGATAATTTACCTTGATTTTTTTTTATTTACAAATTGTAAGGACGTTAAAGTTGTTAATTGCAAAACAGCATAAGAATTATGGTCTTTAACAACAAGAAGGTAATTGTACACGCACTAAATGGTTTTTTATTTCCTGAATAAGGACTACGTACTAGTTAAGGATTATCATATTCCCAAAGCATGATTAACATGATAATCACGACAATTTGGTCCCCTTTTTTGGCTAGCTTTACCAGGTCGCATTGTTCTAATTGTCATCTGCTAATCATAACTGAACGGATATTAACTGGCTCATTTTCCCCTGTGACTCCCATATAATCATGGGCTCTACACTTTTTATGGATATCTTTATCAACCATATCATGCCCCGTACATAATAATTAAAGGAAGGGAAGTTTCACAAGCATCACACATTTAAATCGGTAAACATACACGACACTATGGAAAATGTGGCCATGCTTTTTCGTTCCATCTCCTTGTCTTCTTTGCGTGATTGTTATCACTCACACAACTTAAAAGCTTGCATTGTTTCATATAATTACAACACAATCAACATATGTAAACTTCAAATTAAATTAAAGCAACATCTCGAACTGTCGCGTCTTGATACAAAATATATATATATATATATATATGTATGTATATGTATATGTATATATATATACATATCAATGCGTGGCGAGCAACATTTTGTGTTATAATTGATCAACTTTTGTCGACTAACAAAGGTTATCCCGTGAACGTACGAGAGGCAGACAGGACATTCTGTTGATGGATCCAACCGCAAGGAAAACAAAATCTTGTGTTCTACAAGCTCAGAGTCGGTATAAATACTTGGGCAACTTTCTCTTAAAACTTGATTAATTGGTGGAAGGCAAGAGGAGTAGTACTACGGGAATTGTTTCCAATGATGGAGTCAATAGAAGAAGAGAGAAAATGTGGTCAGTATTTTGTTGACATTGTGATATATATCATTTATTGAGAGAAGTAACAATGCATGTGTGATCGATTTACGATGAAAGATGAGGAGGAGGAGAAAAAGAAGCAGAGAATCAAGAAAGAATAAGTTCGGAAAAAGTGTTGGGCCGGACCCCTTTGATCGATTGAACTAGTCTTGAACTTTATCATGTCTTCTGTCAAATGTAAATGTGACCCACAAGTAAAAATAAGTTTAATATAAGTTTTTCAAACCAACTCAAGCGATGAGGAGGAGGCAAGGTGAGGAGGCATGGGTAGATGTCAATGGTCTATAATATATATATATATATATATATATATATATTGAATATAGAATTAAACGATGAACTCAGTGAAAAAATTCATCATCCTAAGTGTTGGGTTTAGAAAGCTCACTTTTGGTGGATCAAGTTTTAGCGCAAACTCAAGCCCACATTATTGAATGGGGCTCATTTGGATATTAATAAAATGTTTAGGTTTTGTCGCACCCGAAAATATAACGCAAATAGCGCGGGAGAGAGGAGATTTCAACCTTTGGAGCAATAATTGATGGAATGGGAGTCACCACCAAAATTTTGAGGAAAAACTTGAAAAACTATTTAAAAGAGATAAGGATAATATGCGAAATCGAAAATAGGTTTAAAAGTCGGTTAAGTGTGGGAAAAGTATTAAGCACCCCACAACACTCGTTCATAAGAATGATTATCTAAAGTTTGTTATGTTAAATTAATATAATTTTAAAGTTATTTTAATTATTCTTTTCGTATTCATGTGTTTGATATAAAAATGATGATAGTTAAGTAAGAAATATTTATTTATTTATAATGGAGAACTTGATTTAAAATTAGACTTTGAGGCTTACGTACCTTGTGATGAGGATCAAAGTCTACATAGTTCAAAATTATAAATTATTTTCATTTTATCTATATTTTTGGTTGAATTTATTATTATTTTTATTAAATTTAAAAAAATATCCGGATAAAATACAGTATTTATAGATCTTTACGTGTAATATTATCATTTTTGTGTGTAAGAATATTTTTAAGAGACGTACGTTTAGAAACTACTCATGTATGTAGGTGAAAGTTATATATAGTATTAAAGATTATTGTTAAAACTGAATGGTTGACTCTAAAAGAAAAACACTCAGTGAATACTAAGAGTATTCATGGGACAAGGCAAGATAGGGACACCCTTGTCCTGTGTCCCATTCAAAAAATAAAAAAATAAAAGATCATGACTGAACTTTTATCTCATATCTCGTTCCATCCCGTTAGGAATTAGGATAGGATTGGGACGTCCTGCTATCTCGATAAATCAAATAATATCAAAGAAAAATCTAGATATTAATTTATTAAGTTTAACATTAAAACAATATAAGTACATAAATCACAATAATTTAAAGTCAGTTATTAGATTACACTAATCACAGCTACATTATGATAGCAATTATAAGTAATCTCTAAGTTATAAGAGCAGCAATAACAAGTCAAATATAACATCAAATCATTGTTATTCTACTTTAGTTGAGATATGCTATGTTAATTACTCTTCCAATAATAAAGTAAGAAATACAATATAAATAAAAGTTATTAAATAGATAAATATAAGAATAAATTATATTGATACAATTAATATATTTGATTTATATTTTTAAAATAAAAATAATATATGTACATATAATATTCGGGACGAGACAAAACATTTTGATGGTAATCCTGTGTTCCATTCCATTTCAAACCCTTTTCATTTCCTGTCCCACAAAGTCCAGTTTTAATTGTCTTTGAGTCGGGATAATATTAGGCCACTCGGGATGAGTACAAAATGAACACTCCTAGTGAATACTTTATTCTCCTCTCCTCTTCCTCTCAGTGGTGTGTTTGCTATGAATTAGAGGCAGAGTTCGAGTAACTCAGTCATCCACATAGAGATATTATCTTGTGCACTAACAAGTATGCTTTACTCCATAATTTTACACCAAGTGCTTTGAAATTTCAAGCCTGCGTGTGTTTTTGAACTTATTTGATACATTTTCTTTTCAAGATCCATCAAATTTGTCTTATGTTAAATGCCTTGTTTGGTGACCTAAATATGATACGGTTAACGGTTTATAAAATTTATAAAAATTTATTTTTTTCAAAGGTAAAGTATTCTTCATTAAAATTTACAAAGATGCTTATACAATTCAATGAGAGAATTTGCAATTTTAATTTTACGGACAAATTTTTTTAAGAAAATAATTGACAAGCCAAGTTGGACTTGAATCTTCATGAAAAAACCCAATCTCTATGATGTCATTATTCGGAGAGGGTTTTTTTTCATTTTTTTCCTCCATTTCCCCATTCTTCATCATTCATATCATTTTATTAAATAATTTTTTTAATTATAAAATTAACGAATGGTGGAAAATTGGAGAAATGGAGGGAGAAGGAGGGGAAAAAAGAATGAATAGTCATGATTGGAATTTTTTTTAAAAAAACAAAGGAAGTAGGAGAAGAAGAGAAAGTAAGTGGGGAGACCCCTCCTTCGTCGTTCGTACAAAATTTGAGATGATTCTCATTCTTGGGGCAAGTGATGCCAACATTTTTATTATTATTAGTGTGTGTGTGTTGTTGGCTTACCACCGTAAACAAACAAATTTCCGTTTCAGATCTGCTTATTTCGATCACTCGTTTTTATTTTAGAATTTAAAAAACCATCAGCTTCAATCGCAGGAAAACTGTGATATCAGTTTACGAATCCAAGCCAAGCTGCTTCTTCAAGCTAAACAGTCGAGTCCTGAAGACTTCAAATTTGACAGCTCTTCACCTTCAGGGCTTAAAATAGAATTGAATGATTCTCGTGTGAGGTAGAAACAAGGTAAAATGAGTCATTTGCAACTTGCAAAGTCGATTACCTCAACCAAGCTTGTCTTTTCTTAGATCATAATTTTAAAAAACGACATCTTTGACACGCTAAGCCAGGAAGATCGCATCGAACGTACATGTACTGGAGTTTCAACTTTAACGAAAGATTTGGAAGACATTTTCAAGTGACTCCTTTTTTACAGAAAAAGTAGCGTCCAATTAGTTTTACGGACCACATCTTCCACTCAACTTCACCCACGTGGGCCCCACCCAAACGTAAACCTGCGTTTTCTTTCATCCCCCTTTCTCCTTTTACTCATCTCACTCAATGAAAGAGATTTCATTCCATGGTGCGGTTCGCTGGCCAGTAAACCTACCACTTGTTGTAAAGAATCAGAAACATGTTTCTGCGGCGCTCTCTGGTTCGTTGAAGTTCTGATAACGGTTCACTTGCTTGCAATCTCAGCGATGCCAACGTCTACATCGCTGACCTCTTTTCTAAGCCAAGATACTATCTATGCACAGTGGAAAATTGGAAGTCCTTTCTTTTCCAAGTCCCTTCGTTCCGTTTAGCTCAAAACATTGACTTTAATGAGGTCTGAGAAGCATATCCCACCACTTAAATATCCCTTGTTGGCAAGCCAGTAGCGAGAACTCACCAAACAAGAATTGGTCATGCTTCAGGACATCTCTGTACTCTCTAACCAAGAAGCGGAGAATGGTTTGGTTCAATTTTATTGTCAAATTGCTTTGAATGATGCAACCAAATTAATTAATTGATTTGAGTGAAAAATAACCCTTTCTTAAGAACAGAAATACTGGCAATAAAAAATAAGAGGAAAAAGGCTCAGTTGCTTTCATTGAGAGTTGAACTCAAAACTTGACTAAATGAGTGTTTTAACCAGCTAAGCTATGAAAGCAGTGAATGACTTAATTTCACATAATTCTTCTATTTCTTCTTCTTTAAAGGCACAAAATTACTCTCCAAATCCTTATAATTTTACTCAATTTTAATTTAAGTATTTATAATTTATTTTATTTTAATTAAATTTTTATATTTTAATCGATTAAATATGATAGTCTTTGATTATTAAAATCCTTCGATTTTTCCTTTTAAAAGTTAAACTAAGGGCTTTTATATGTTTATTAAAATTTTGACATAATTTTAGAATTAATTACATAATTTTTATAACTAAAAATTTAAATAATTAGGTTTGTTACATAAATAATTTGTATACATATATTTTTTATAAAAATATTAAAAATATTAATATTGTACTAAATAAAATTTTTTTGGCTAAAAGTATTCAACCAAATTTTTTAATAAAATTTAACAGTTTTTTTATTTAGAAAAACTCTATGCTTCATTAATAATTTTAACTTTCAAAAACTAATATATTTAATTGATCAAACTATTAATTCAAAATTAAAGAAAACTACAAGCACCGGCAGATTAATTTTCTCAAATAAAAGCAAAAACAAACAGCTACACACATATAACACGGAAAATTATGCCTAATAATTAAATTCACTAATATTTCATTTTTAAGTATCCTAGATATGTAAAATTATGTCACTAAAAAATAACAACAATAGGTCTTATTTTACAGGGTAAAGCAGGTTACATGAATTACTTGATGCAATTTGTATGCTATTGTATTCTATTATCAGTCAAGATTTTAGAATCGCACAATGCCACCGCACGAGCTAAAGCTAAAATCCCTTGCTTCTCACTCGTTTCTTCACTACCCAGTCCCCACTCTTCAAATTTCACTGTGTCATTGTTAAAATACTGAATTGACATTACTTTTTACAATCCAAGTGTAAATCCTTCTCGTTTAACTGCTAAATATATAGGTTACTCGTCTTAATCGGTGCTAAATATGAGAACTAGCACTTGTAAATTTTAGTAGTTTAAGTATCAAAAATTAGATTTGGAAGCTGCAAATTATTTAAATCTTTCTATAATTATCTTTATATATATATATATATATATATATAAAGAGATCATGGCAAAGGGTCTAGCAGAGAAGGAGAACACTGGACTTGCCAAATTTATAAATGAGTTTAATGGAAGCAAAGGAAAACTCGAGTCGAAGGAAGAGTGGAATGATGCCATGAGGGAAGCTGGGAGAATAACCTTCCAACCAACGAAAGGAACATTATATAGACATGTTTGCGCAGACCAAGCACGTAAAAAATATATATGCAAGGTGTGTTCATAACTTTGTATCCAAATTGGATTTCCTTTTACTAGTAATCCTTTTACCCGACACAAGAATAATCTAGCCTTCATGTATATTATTTCTTTCTACAAAGACGACCCATCCTTCATAATAATTCCACGTTTTTAGGGTTCTCTTGGAAATAGAAGACTCGTGAATTTGGTCTTCTCCACAATAATAAAACAAGTTAACAAGGCATGAATTTGGACAAGTGAGTAGCTTAAATTTAATTATTCAATATTCTTTTCGGTTCTATTTATTAGTCATTTTTTATTAACATTATCAATATCAATACAATAAAAGTATAAGAAATAAAAATAAGTAAAATTTTAAATATAATCCTCAAGTAAAAAGTAAAAAATAAGTTAATTATATAATATTATTTTTTATGTCTTTTTAAATATAATTTAAGGTTTTTAATTTAAAACAAAACAATTTCATTAACAAATGATTTATAAAGTGATTCAGATTATATTTTAAAAAAATGACTTATATACTAAATTAAAAGAATAAGTATTTTAATTATAATTATTAAATTTTATCAATGTCTGAAAATTATATTATCGGGGTACCAATGAAGTGAATGATTCAAGCCACTTACATGATACTGATACAAGAAGACACTATTACGTGGAGCAGGATTTGAGCACTTACTTTGATAAAGACAAAAGGGTGCCATAAATATTATTCCTTGCCCACTGCGATCAGGAAACAGGGGACAAAAGATAAAGCACCCGCGTGTCGAAAAAGGGTAAGTCTTTCATTATTCCAGTTCTATTCCCTTCGTACCATTACCACATTTTAAATTGCATGGATATAAAACATTGCAACGATTCATAACTCGTTGCATAAAATTAAATTACGCAAAGGCATTATTCATCATCAGGCTTGTTATAAATATAACAGTTTCCTGACAAAATCAGACAACATGATCTTGATAGAATTCTTTGTTTTTCCCTCACATTTCTTCACAAACCATCCATTTTTCGTCCACATGACTGTAAACACGCCCCAGGAAAAAAAAAACACGCGGATGGATAGATATGACAAGTTTCTTACATTATTAATTTCCACGTCTCAAGAGCACGTATAGACTATCAATTGAAGTTAAAACATTACCTTAGAATGTCCCTTCAGCGACATCTAATAAAATTGGAACGATGTAGAAAAAATTAGCACGACACTTGCGTAAGGATGGCATGCATAAATTGAGAGATGGTCTAAAACGTTTCCTTGGAATAAATTAGAACATGCCCCCTCACTTAAAAAAAATACAAATACAGCATGCAAACTTTGTAACTTTACTCCCCCTATTTTTTGACACTTTACACCCTTTAAACCAAATAAAAATATTTAAGGTTTAAAACTTATTAGATATATAATTTTTAATAATTTAGATAAGATATGAAGAATATATTTATAATAAAAAAACTATATCAATTTGTTCAATGTAATTTTTTAAAATTAAAACTGATGAGCAGTCTATTTATATTATTGCAATTTTAGCCCTTACATAATTATTATTTTTTAAAAATATTAATTTTTTATCAAATTATTTTGCATTCCTGATTATGGGTCCTGGCTCGCTACTGGATACATTGTCTGGCTGTTTGTGATTGGTTCCAATTTGGATAATATGTCGATTACCCGTGCTGATGACATTTAAATTAAATATTATAACTTATAAAAGTATTATGAAAAACTAATTAATCAATGTTGTGTGCTGGCGGGGGCGCTAAATTGATAACTCTATTGTCCTCTCCACCCTGATTTCTGAAGTTACATTGGTGCAGTTCATTGGGTTGCAAATTTCTACAATTAATTAAGGTTTTGTTTGGTTGGAGGAGAGAGGGAGGAGGGGAGGGGAAGGGGGAGATTTAGGAGGGGAAAAATTTCCCTTCCCCTCCTTAAAAATTTTCCCTCCCCTCCTCCCAACCAAGCATAGCCTTAAAGTTGATTGTTATGAATAAAAAAATCAGGTCTAGACTCTAGTCCTACTTCCTTTGCTTCTAAATGTAAAAGAAAATGAAAGAAATTTTAAAAAAATATATAAGAAAAAATAATTAATTCATGTAATTTAAGAAAATTAATTAAGTACAATAATTATGCCTAAAAATAAAAAATGGATTAAATTATCTTTGTAATTAGTGCAACAAATTTATCCAATAAAAATAAACATTAATTTAGTGAGGGAACAATTAAAGAAAAATATAATAAATATTTCTTGGAATTTATAATTTTACTTGTAAATAAAAACAAAAAGAAACATAATTGTCTTATTTTCGTAAACAGAGCAGTATCCAGCGCAGCATGGCTGGCAAAGACATCTCGATAAAGTGATGAAAAGTATATATCTTTGGGAGAATGATAGTACGCTATTCAACCTAGTCCAAAACATAAATACTTTTATAATACCCTGCTTGTCAAAAAAAATATTTATTTTTATGAAAAAATATATTATTTTTTCTTTTAATTCATAATTCTAATTTATGATAAGTGAGGAAGTCATAAAGTTACATATACAATAATATAGTCTAATAAATATTTCATCTAGTTCAAAACATAAATACTTTTATAATACTCTGCTTGTCAAAAAAATATTTATTTTTATGAAAAAATATATTATTTTTTCTTTTAATTCATAATTCTAATTTATGATAAGTGAGGAAGTCATAAAGTTACATATATAATAATATAGTCTAATAAATATTTCATCTAGTTCAAAATATAAATATTTTTTTGGATCAGTCTTAATATAAAGTATAAGCAATTCAGTATTTATAAAAAAATTCCTGCTTTACCTTTTACTGAGACCAAAATTAATTGAAAAAATGCTTATATTTTAGATCAAAGAGAGAACATTCAAAAATTTTGAATTAATAACATTTATGTTCTAGATATATTTTTTAAAAAATAAGTTGTAAATATTAACAAAATTCAGAAGTCTCAATATAAATAATATATTCAAGCTTCAAGTGCCACTGTTAAATTATATTCAGATTCTTTAAATTATCACTGTTTAAATTGATATTTATAAACCACTCTTTCTTCTCACTTTATATGACATTTTCAGATAAAATCTCCTATTAATAAATTTTATTAAATATATTTTATAATTTTTTAAGGAAAAATACAATTTTCAAAAAATACTGTTCATTTTCTACTTTATTTGTGAAAACATATTAAAAAAAAAGAATGTAACAGAAATGATGATATTAAAAAAATATCATTAATAAAATTTTATTCTTGTTAAAATATTTTATATTTTAAGATATCAAACCCTTAAAAAATATTTTATAAATTAGAAAGAAAATAACATTTAAAAAAGTATTTTAGGGGAACCTGATTATTGTTATCCTTCCCTTGTGATTTCCGAACGAAAGAGATACAGTGACGACAATATTTTTTAATACACCGTACAAATATCCTAAAGCTAGGTCGTATTTGAAGTCAGGACATGAGGTTTGTACAAATGGTGGGTGGATTGGCAAGGGACAACAATTATTTGAACTGGCGTCAACGTTCAAACTTGGATACATCGTAGCAAACCACTTTTGACCGCGTGGACCTATATGATGTGGATCAGAGTCACCCCTTCGCGCATGTTTTTCCCACTGTCATCTTATCTTATATTTTACAGGAAGAATGATGAAGAGGACTCAAAAATGGCGATTAATTTAATTTAAGTTTTAAGTATTAAATTTTATAAATTTATAAAATTTAACTCTCAATTTTATAATTTTATTATAATTAATTTATAATTTTTTTAAAAATCTTAATATGATTGTATAATAAAATGATTATATAATAAATAAATCTATATTCTATATTAAAATTTAGAGTACAAGTTATAGATTAGTCACAATAAAGTTACAAAATTAAAAACCATGCTTATAAATTTTTAAAATCTAGCATTTTAAAACTATGTTGAATTAATTAGTCCTTTTGGGACTTATCAATCATTCTCCCTATTTTATATTCAATATCATCAATATTCAATATGTAATGTTATAATTAGGGGCGTTCATAGGACGGGCAGGATTTAGACACCTTTATCTCATGTCTCGTTTCAAAAAAAGATGGAGATTAAATTTTAATCTCGCAGCCTGTTCTCGTTCTAAAAGTCATAATCGAAATGAGATCGAGAAGCCCTGTCGTCACAATAAGTTGAACAATGTGTAACACTACTGTTGAATGGCACCAAAATTAATAAAAATTAAATTTTACAATATAATACAACCTAGGTTGTACCTCTAAAAGTCAATAGATTAACTATTTAAATTATGTTTATGAAAGGTTAAATAATGGGATAATTTTTTATGAAGAAATTAATATTAAAAAATCTAAAATTAAATAATTAAAATAAGTTCAATCGAGAAAATTACTAAGCACAAATAGTCAATTAATCACAACACAATTACTTAAACTTAATATTTCTTATCTACAAAATAAATTAATTTTATTTAACTTTATTATTATGGTTTCCAAATTATCATTCAATAATTAAACAAGAAATTAAGTTATAGATTAATTAAAATCTCTCTTAACTCACGACTTAACAACTGTTCTATGTTAACCACACCAGAATCAAAGAGTGAGTAATCACTCAAGCCAAGGCAAATTACTCTTATGATACTATATCAATAGATTACAGCAAAAAAAACCTCAAATAAAATATATAACCTAAAAATCATATAATAAAATTACTCTAACTAGCAATAGCAATTAAAGTATAAAATTTAGAGGTAGAGAGGAGAAGAATAAATAAGAATATAGTTAAAATAAAATTTTAAATTAATATCAAAGGTTCTAATTAAAATTTAGAATTATAATTTGTGATTGATCACATTAAAAAATTAAGTTTTTGTAGAATTAAAAATTAAATAATATAAGATGAGAAAAAGAGTATCCATTTGTCACAACCTATATTCAAATATAAGAGAACCTGCAAGGTTGTGGAATTTTTGGAGACCTCCAAGATAACGAAGAGAATTCTAGAGATTTCAAGAAGAATCTAGTATGTTCTAAAATATTCTAGAAGCATCTCGAATAATTTGGAGAAATTTAAAAGTTTCTAGAAGGTTCTAAAAACTTATAGAGGAATGTGGAGATATAGGATGATCTAGAATATTCCACACATATCTTGAGGGACAGTCTCTAGAAACTTTTTTATAAATATTTAGATATTTATTGTAGATATTTTTATACAATATTCTAGAGATAGAATGTACACCATTAGATCAAATCAATCCCAATTGTCCATTAAGAAGGTGGGAATTTTCTAGAGAAAGAGAGAGGCCTATAAATACCCCCTCACCCCTCATTTGCAACAACAGAAGCTAAGTAATAAAGCTCTCAAGTTCATTCACTTAAGCTATACTCTTTCTACTTGTGCAAATTGTCTTCTAAGTCTCTTTGCCTACTTTATGGGCTCGGCTGACTTAGTCACGATCAAGAATTTGATCACGCTAAGGCTGGCACGGTTCAAGGACTGGGGAGTTCCAAGGTCGTGATAACGTGGTATCAGAGCCAAGATTCAAGCGGGCCGTGGTTTCGATAGATAATCGTAGGCAAGGATGTTGGGTGTGACTGAGGAGACTCTTGCTCACGTGAAAGAGAGGGGAAAGGAGTCCCAACCTCCACACCAAGGTGGCAAGAAAGCACAAGGCACTAGTAAGGTACGTTCACAAGACCTTACTATACTCTCCATAAAAATCGATGCTTTAGAGAAGACTATGGAAGAAATGGTAGGTAGAATAAAGAAGGTTGAGAGTAATATGGGCATGTTGGAGAACCATACTCTCAAAGAACTTGATGAGTTAAAGAGACAAAGTGAGGATGACGTGAAATCCTTAGAGACAAAGGTGATGGATGCCATCACCATGATGCAACAACAACTCAATACTCTCAAGACTTCCTTAGAAGAAAGAGGAAGAAACCCATTATTGGATGGAAATAGTGGAATAAGGAAAGTCAAGTTTGACCTTCCCAAACCCAAGAAATTTAAAGGTGTATGGGATGCCCAAGAAGTTGAGAACTTCTTATGGCAGATGGATCGCTATGCTGATACCTTGGGGATAACAGATGATCAAACCAAGGTACGTACCACTGCTTACTTCCTTACCGATAATGCAATGTTATGGTGGCGTAGGAACGATGCAGACATAAAGAAGGGGTTTTACACTATCAACACTTGGGAAGACTTTAAGAAAGAATTGAAGAGGTAATTT